GCTCACGGCAGCCTCTGTCCCCCAGGTTCAAGCAGTGCTCCTGCCTCAGCCTCCCGAGTAGCTGGGATTACAGGAGCCTACCTAATTTTTGTATTTTTAGTAGAGATGAGGTTTCACTATCCTGGCCAGGCTGGTCTTAATGTGCTTATATTAGTTATATCAGTACCTCTGTTGTCTAATTTATAAAGGAGGATCTGTTTCTAAAATTGGATGATTCATATTCATTTGACTTATACTTTCTCTCCATAGCTTAATCTTTTTCAAGGATAGATGTAAATTCATCAACTTTAGGAGTTACATTGCAGATTTTTTGGTGTTTTTTTGCAGTCTCCTTCTGTAAGTCAGCCCAAGTAAACATCAGACTAAAAAACAGTCCATCTTTAAAACTGGTGAAAATTAATACTGTCAGTGAAACTGCCATAATAGAACCTTTAAAGTAGTTTTTTTTTGTTTGATTTTGTTTTTTTTGATGGAGTCTTGCTTTGTCATCCAGGCTGGATTTGCAGTTGTTAGATCTTGGCTCACTGCAACCTCTGCCTCCCAGGCTCAAGCGATTCTCCTGCCTCATCCTCCTGACAAGCTGGGATTACAGGAGTGCACCACAATGCCCGGCTAATTTTTGTATTTTTGGTAGAGACAGGGTTTCACTATGTTGGCTAGGCTGGGCTTGAACTCCTGACATCAGGTGATCTGCCCACCTCGGCCTCCCAAAGTGCTGGCATGAGCCACCATGCCCAGCCTAAAGTATGTTAATCATACAAGGAGGCATTGTTTGAATGTACTAATAGGGAATTTGACAAGCAAACAAATTATACTGACTTTTTTTTTTAAAGTAAGGTTATATTAAGTGATCTCTCAAACCTAAAGTCGACATTGTTTTTATGTACACATCCCACACCTGTGTTATCTTTATGATTAGCATTATATTGTTATATTGGAATACTATGAGGGAAGTTGTGAGTAGCTGCTTTAATTTAAATCTTCCTTTGTCGAAGTTATTGGATATTATTTAGAAATCCTGCAGTTATGCCAGGCGTGGTGGCTCATGCCTGTAATCCCAGCACTTTGGAGCCCAGAAATTTGAGACCAGCCTGTCCAACATAGTGAAACCCCATCTCTACCAAAAATATAAAAATTAGCCGTGCATGGTGGTATGTGCCTATAGTTTCAGGTACTTGGGAGGCTGAGGCAGGAGAATCTCTTAAATCCAGGAGGTGGAGGATGCCGTGAGCCAAGATCATGCCATTGCACTCTAGCTTGGGTATTAGAGTGGGACTCCATCTTAAAGAAAAAAGGAAAAAAAAATCCTGCAGTTAAAAGCACACAGTAGGCAGACATATAGACATTCTTCAAACTTAAGTATTATAAAGCATCTGCCTGCATTACTACTGCTACTACTATTACTACTACTACTACTACTACTACTACTTTTTTTTTTTTTT